AAGAGTGGTAAAAAAGCTTTATCCCTGACATCTGAGCATACCAGTTTAGTACTGCTTGGCCAAAGTGCCTAAAAGGTTTCCCCCCACCCACCGGTGCCCAGCCATATTAGCTCTCATAACTGAAATACTATCTCAATATTTCTGTTTTTGCATTAGGTCCATCCTCAAAATGGACTTAGTCTATGTTGATGGTGAATAATAAAATCAGAAGACTGGTATTGTGATGTGTACGCCATTGTCCATGATGAATGCCAGCTTCCTGTTTAATACACTGGTAGTTGTCCACCATATTTCATGAGAGGTTAGAGTTTACTAGTTAGATACAACTCTTGGCCAAGTGTATTGATAATATCCTGGTAGTGTGGGAGGCTGATGGACAAACATTTTTAGGTTTTCTAACTGCAATAAAGTGAACCTATTATTTATATCTGTTGGGGAAGAGCTTCACTGAAGTTCTTGAATTTAAAGTTTATCTAAACCCAAGAACAAAAATGGAATATATTGCGGGCTTACCACACCTTAGATGTGACATAGAGAATGTATTTATTGAAAGGAACATTTAGAAGGTGCAGAGAGTTGAAGGGTCATTTTGTATATTGAATGTTTAGAAATTGTGGTGAGTCTAGTTGGCATGGCTTATTGAAAGGCATGGGCAATTTTAGTTAATGTACATAGAATATTTTGTTGAAATACGAAGGGTAAATTAATTTCAATGCAAAATGTCCCATATGGTGTACATGCCTAATTATTGTTGCCAATTTGTACAATTGGGAAAAACATTACATTTATAAGGACCAAAAAAGATCTACCTTTAGGGTTAGTTCACACCAGAAACTGCATCACAACTGCGTGCGTCTGCGCAGTTGCATTGCGATCCATTTTGATGCGTTTGGACGTGTTTGGGATGCGTTTTCCCCCCTGCATGTCCCTGGATGATGCCACAATCAATTCTGTTTTTTTGTATGTGTTCCGTTGAGTCATAGGGCGTTTTGATGCGTTTGCATGTGTTTGCACTGCGTTTTGATGCGTTTAGTGCAGTTAGATGCAGGTAAAATAGGCCAAGCAGTACTTTTTCTGACTGCAGTTGAACGGACTGCAATGATGTGAATTAAGCACAAGAAAACCCATAGGAAAGCATTGTGATGTATTTTGACTGTAGCAGTCAAAATAAATGGACCATATGCAGTTGTGATGCAGTCTGTTTATTTTGACTGCTGCAGTCAAAATACAGCACAATGCTTTCCTATGGGTTTTCTTGTGCTTAATTCACATCATTGCAGTCCGTTCAACTGCAGTCAGAAAAAGTACTGCTTGGCCTATTTTACCTGCATCTAACTGCACGAAACGCATCAAAACGCAGTGCAAACACATTAAAACGCACTGAAACGCAATGGAACGCATACAAAAAACAAAAAAACTATTGATTGTGGCATCATCCAGGGACATGCAGAGGGAAAAAACGGCATCAAAAACGCATCACAAACGCGTCAAAATGCATCAAAACTGATCGCAATGCAACTCTGCATATGCAAGCAGTTGTGATGCGGTTTCTGGTGTGAACTAACCCTTAGGGCTCAGTCACACTAGATGCAGTGCATTCCGGGCCGATTGTGGCCAGAACGCACTGCCTCGTATTATGGCCGGCTCACTTTTTAGTGGGGTAGGAGGGGGTGTGGCGGCCCATTCATGTGAATGGCGCCGTAGCCACGCCCTCCAGCCGCAATGCAATCCGCCGCACGGGATCGCAAGGCACATTGTGCCTGCGGTCCGGTCCTGTGCAGTGCGATCAAAATAGTGTGGCCGGAGGGCGTGGCTACGGCGCCATTCACTTGAATGGCCCTCCACGCCCCCTCCTGCCCCACTAAAAAGAGAGCCGGCCGCAATGCGAGGCTGTGCGTTCTGGCCAAAATCTGGCCGGAACGCACTGCATCTAGTGTGACTGAGCCCTTAACATTTCAGGAAGATCCAGCAGGCAAATGTTGCATTACTATGTTTCTGTGGTGTAAAAAAAAGTGTCAAAACTAAGGAGAGGCAATGACTGCAATAAACTACTGTTCCAAAAAGCCAGCATATGGATTATATTTTATGAGGTCATAGGGCCATTATGGTTTAATCAAATACAATTATCTAAACCTATTTTGGGGAGAATATGCCTGTTTGCATTATATTTTGTTGGTAAACATTGATATATACCTCCTTTTAGTGGTTTGGATTTATGAGAATCTATATTTTTATATGTGGACTCCACCATTCTATAATGCCAGTATTGACAGCAATACTGCATAGCAATTGACTATTCAAGGTATGATGGATTGTTGCTTTGTTTGCCGCAGTAAAACGTGTAGTGCCAATTCAAGATGCTTTGATGCTGTTACTAGACAAATGTTAGGTGTCATGACATGTGGTCCAGTACTGCTCTAAGGCAACTAAATTTGCTGAATGTACACATACTGTTATTACACGACTACGCCTGGATTAGGCTATGTCTGGGTGTAACTTCACCATGTGTATTCGAAAGCTGGAAGATCTGGCTGTTGCCTTGCTGCAGCACACAGGGGAATGGCATTTAGGTGATGCTGAGTATATTTGTATATTACTGCACTTTTCTATGTACCTAATTAGGCACTGAGATTATTATTTCATTGTTGAGCCAATTACAACTAACACTTTTCTATATGAACAAAAGGGGTTTCTAAAATGTTGTTTTAACCCCTTTTTTAGCTGACAGTCACATACAATGCAAAGTGTATATAGGGCAAGCCTTGGTTGTCCTTAACATTTTTGCTGCCTGAGGCGGAGGGTGGGGCTGGCTGGGGGCAGTGTCATGCCGAGCTTCTGGCAACCAGTAACGCCACTAGTTGTCAGGAGCTCCACGGGATGCCTGCAACAGCATTGCAGGTTGCTAAGAGTTGAGCAGAGAGACACCTATGGCCCGTACACATCTCCCTGCCCTCTTAGCAACCTGGGACACTCTGGCCAGAAAGGGGATGGCAGGCACACTGCAAACGTTGTGCAGCAGAGTGGCCATGCCGCTCTGCCTGCCACCCCCCTTGCGTTGCTGCCTCATTTTAGAAATGGTCCTGGGGCAAGCTCACCATAGCCAATACATTGCTGTACCAGCAACGTATCATCACAGAACAAAGGTGACATTTCCCAAGCTGTCAGATAATTTCATGTGACTTTTTCCTGCAATCATTTATACCAGTAAATAGAACATTTACAATAGCTTTGTAAGTTTTCTGACTTTGTTTTTAAGACACTTTTTTTTTTATTTTTTTATTATTTATTCTCCAAAACATACAGAGGGGAATTTATCAAAACTGGAGCAAACAAAAACTGCTGTGCATGACAACCAATCAGCTTCTCTCTTCAGTTTGTTCAGTTAAGATTTGAAAATGAGAAAGAGAAGCTGATTGGCTGCCATTCACAGCTGCTCCAGTTTTTGTCTGCTCCAGTTTTGATAAATTGCCCCCACAGTCTTTTGTCTATGTCAAAATGCAGACCCCATTTCCAGGCCACAATAGTTTGCATTTACATTTCTGAGGGGGCCAAGAGGTGACATAAGGGGTCAGATAGACCCCTGATGTCTCCATAAAGAGGGCCGGTCACTGCATGTATGAGGGCCTGTCACATAGAGGACTTGTTAAAAAAAAATATATATATATAGTCAAATATAAAAAAACAAAAACATTTTTTAAGTCCCCCACATATACACATGTGAAAACAACAATTGTGCCACACATGTTACATATCACTGGAAACATTGGAGTGTGAGCGATAATTGTAGGGCAGTCAATCACTGTTAACACTAAACTTATGAGCGGTAAAAGCTTTTAAAGCACTGCCTAAGGGCAATTTTGGGTATGAAAGTTTTTTGTGATTTTACAGGTGCACGCAATTTTAAGGCTTGACATGTTTGGTGTCTATTTAAGCGACGTGACCCCATTTTTTATATATTACCAAAAAATTGGGTAATTATATAATGTAGGGAATTTTTATTTTGTTTATTTTCGGTACTTTTTTCAGTATATAGTAAAAATAAAATACCCAGAGGGGATTAAATACCACCACAAGAAAGCTCTATCTGTCCCCAAAAAATTGTATAAAATTAATTTTTGTAGAGACAGAATGAATGTCAGTCAAAGTACAGCAGCGCTGCATACTGAAAAATGGCCTGGACAGGAAGGGGGTTTAACACCCTGGTCTTCAAGTGGTTAATTATGTTATGTACTCTGTAAAAAGAATGTGACAGCGTTGGGTATCTGAACATAGATTCATAGAGGGGGAAGGGGGGTATTACATGCTCCATATATCTGGAAGTACCAAGTGTTACCCTTGGCTCCCATTAGCCAACTGAACATTGAGATAATGATGGGAATCCGGGTCTATGCAGCGTTTAATTGAAGGTGTCGCTTTGCTCTCCAAGGGCATAGCGCAAGTTTACTTTAGAAGTGTAAATATGTTTTTGGCACACATCAAACTTCATTTTGTTTTGTTTTCCAGCGGTTATTGGACTTGCTTTTTAGTGAATTTTTTTTTTTAAATGTCTATCCACTGACCGCACTTAATTTGCACTTTACTGCATTATCATTCATTTCTGGGGGTCCTAGTACTTGTAAAGAGGAATATATCAGCTTCTGAAGTGCTATTGTAATAATGTACAATTTTCTTGCTGGAACCTAATAGGAAAGACGTTTAGATTATCCCAGAAGATACCATATCCCAGGGCTCATTAATCAGCCTTTCCTCATACAGACATACGTAAAAACAAATTGTCTTGTCTGTAAAGTTTATTTATCATTAAAGTACAAAGCATTGATAAAGCTCAGAGCTCTTTTGCTTGAATCCATCAGATTAATGACTCAGTGGCTATCTGTCATAGTCTACTAATTCCTCAGTTAGGAAATTTCTCTCACTTGTGTGTGCCTTTACCCGCCGTCCTTGGCTCTCCTCCCCCCTGACATGCAGTTTAAATATCTGAGATGCTTGTATATCTTCAGGTGGTTCTGTGAAGGAAGAGAGCTGCATAACTCACCTGACATCAACATCTCCTCCGAGAGTGACGGGCTTCAAGTTCTTGTCATCGTTGAGGCCTTCGAGGACGACACCGGGCGCTATACTTGTGTGGCATCCAACTGGCTCGGTTCTGACACATCTTCGGCTGAAGTGTTTGTAGAAGGTAAAGTTTAAGTTGGCTTATTGTGCGTTCTGCACTCTATATAGAAAGTTTTGTAATAGCTTCACCCAATTAAATTCTTGTTTGCCTCGGCCTCTTGTAAAAACAGGAGTAGAGTCTGCTTTGTCACTTCGATTCCAGCTATATTTTTTTCTAGTGAAGGTTAGAAAATGAAAGAAAGCATTAAACTGTCTGCTGTGGGCAATATACATACATACATACACACACATCATCTTACTATCAGCTTTTATGTAAGCTAAACAAGCAGAATAGTTTAAAATATATTATTAATGGATAATATTAAAGTGGAAATGTAGAATTTGTATATAGTTATTTAAAATTCAATGTTTGGTAAAATAGGCTTTCCCTACTATGATCTCTCACCGAGTATGATATTCTTTGGGTTATTTTAAATGAAGAAGTAAATAAGTGGGGAGCCTAGATGCAAGAGGGAGGCACTTATGCTATAGCCTTGTGGAATGGATGGAGACACAAACTAGTGCAGGGAAAGTTTGCCATTTGAATCTGAGAAACATCGGACACTGACAGGTGTTTCAGCTTACCTGTGCTAACCCCAGTACTGAAATACAGTTTTGAATTGTGTTGGGTCAGCTGAGCTACTGGGTTACTTGGCCCTGAGATAGAGAGAATACTGTATGGGGGGTATTTATCAAAACTGGAGCAGACAAAATCTGGAGCAGTTGCCCATGGCAACCAATCAGCTTCTCTCTTCAGTTCCCTCAGTTAAGATTTGAAAATGAAAGAGAGAGGTTGATTTTACTATTGGCTATTTGCAATAGCCAATAGTAAACTAGCATTGTACCCGCCCTCTGCTGCAGTTCTCCATCAGGTCCATCAGCAGAGGGCAGGTACAATGCTAGTTTACTATTGGAAATTGAAATAGCCAATAGTAATGTAGCAATGCATTTCAATGGGAACATTTTTTTTTTTTCTATTCTGACATCGCTCCGTGTCAGAATAAAGAAAAAAAAAAAGACATAGCGGGGTTTCTCTTCTTGGCGGCCGGGAGCGGGAGGCTCCCAGAGCGCCCGGGAGAGTTTTTTTTCTTCTTTTTTTTTTTTTGACGGCAGCAGAGCCGCCGGACAATAGGAAACTATTGGGCGGAGCTAGCTGTCACTGCTAGCTTTGCACAATCGTTTTCTATTTACTTTTTAAAAAAACTTTTTTAACTCTTTCTGTTCTGCTCGGTCCGAGGGATTGTCAGCCAAATGGCCAACTTAAGGAGCTTGCACAGCACAGCCTATTGCAAGGCTGCAGCTTGAAACAGTAAGTGCTGTTACTGGCATGTTCTTCATTCAAGAAACTTTGCAAGAGTTTCACTAAAACCATTTGCTTAAGAAAACTATATACAGTGAGTTATGATGTCATACATACTGAAAAATACATTTTGGGCTTACATACACTTTAGGAATGCCACTTCTTCTCACATAAGGCCTCATATATAAATTGTCTGGTGTAAGAACAGTCTGTGTTTCCTTTCTTACAACCAACCAGTGTCTACCTTACATGTTGCCCTAACAACAGGAAAGTGAGATGCTGATTGGCTGCTGGAAGGGAGGTAGAGAAAGCCCTACAAAGAGACACGCCGTGCATGAGTCTCCTAATATGGTTAAGTGCAATAAGCATGTTATATCCCTTGTTATCATTTCAGGTGCCAGTTCCTCGGATTCTGACAGTGAAGACTTTACTTACAATTCAAAACCTGGAACAATGCCTCAGTGAGTAAATATTCTGCTTACCCGAATTAAGCAAAATATGTTAATTATGGTTCAACTGAAACACAGGGAATGTTTTAATCTTTCATTTTATTTATTTACCCAGTTGGAATTTTGGCAGATGTTTTAATGAGATGGCCGTGTGCACAGCGAATCTTAATTCCAAGTGCTGATGATTAAACTGTGTCCTGGCTAAAAACACACACCAGATACAAAGCTGGTAAAAATCCAACAAAGTGCCATGGACGCAATGGTGAGGGGGGCCAGTACAGGAACCTCCCTAATTCTATTCCCATTTCCCACTAGACAAGGTTAAATGTTTGATTGCAAGACGTGCATTAGTTTACACTGCACGTTTTGACAGATCCTGGTTCCTTCCCCTGTCCTCCATAATTACTCCACATTTACTGAAAGCAGCAATGCCAACTACTCCCTGCTTAGTTCTGTATAGAAGTAAGGGGGAAAACAGCAAAAAGTGACACTTCTGCTTTCCTTAAAGTTGTTCTAGATCTGTTATGGTCATAAGGGGGTAGGGGGATGCAGATGGATGATAGATCTGCTTTAGATGGAAACCGGTCTAGCAGCCAGCCGGGTCTGAGATTTGGCTGAGTATATCTTTGTTATTTTAGCTCCCTCGACAAAATGAGCAGTTAACTCTTTCATTGCAGGGGTAGCCCGACTGCAAGGGGTAAGATTTCATATGCCCGTAGTTCTTCTTTAGAAAAGTTTTGTTATCTAAGGGCTCTTGTAGACTTTTGTATGTGTTGACAGTGAACTTTAATCACAGGTGAAGTCTGCAGGTTTTCCTTTCTCTTTAGCTGTGCAGTATGGTTGACTGTTCCGAGGCTACATTTAACCTGCTTTGATTTTTTTTTTAGACATAGAAAGTCCTTTTGAGGTCTGTTTTTGTTGCAGGTGAAGGGTAGCCAAGTTTGTATGCATAGTACAGCATGCTTAAAGCCTCTTCACACGCCAATACTAATGTATAAAAAAAATAAAATATCCAAAATGAATAAATAACCGTTCACACAGCACATACAGTATGTTAATCATTTTTGTTTCTTGCATTGCTTTTTTTTTTTTATACACATAAAGCTTAATCATACATTATAAACACCTAAGCATTTGCAATGTGTATTTTTATTAGCATTAGACCCTAATGTCTACCTTTTATGAGTTCATTTAATGTCTAGGAAGCATTCTTACGTCATATATAAGGATGATGAATACAGCAATATCCCTTATCCATATTCTATTTTTTTTTAAGCAAACAGTTAAAAGTATAGCTCAAAGCATATCCCTTTCAGACTGACATGAGGTGTGCCTGTCTTGTTTCCAGCCTAGGGCAGTCTGTCTCTATATACAGAATGGTAGAAACAAGTAAATATCAGATGCACAGCAGCAGTGACTCAGGTGCCTGCAGTCAAACTTGACATAGTCGGAAACTTCAATAGCAGAGGTTGAGTAACAGTGGCTGTGTTCCTGTCAGGAGATTAATCAGCAGCCTGTCAGTGATGCAGATCTCTCCTCAGTGTGAGAATTTGCAAAGAGGAGCTTTTATCGGGAAGCCAATGCAATAAATGAAGCGGTGATAACATACTGTATGCCGACTATGACCACATTTCACACTTTTTATTAGTTTGCTGTTTTTGTATTTGGTAATGTAGTACAAAACACTACCATAAAGTTCAATGTCCAGGAAAGGCACAGTAATAAATCCTGTACAGTACAGATTTGAGGTACAGTCATATCCAAAAAATGGCCACTGCAACCATTTTTTTTCTATCATTGCCTTACCAGAAGTGGGAGAATGGCAAATAAAAGTTTTGTTGCTAGATTACAGCACTGACAATTATTTATTGCGATGTAAGTCAGCCTTTCTCAGCTAGGGTGTTGCAGCACACTGGGGTGCCTTCTGGCTTCCTCAATGGTGCCTCGAAATATTGTGATGGTAGGACTCCGATGTGACTGGGAAACTCTGATGTAAAAGGAGGAGATTCCAATATAAAAGGGGGCTCTGATATAAAATAGGTTTCTGATGTGAGAGGGGAACTCCTGACGTAAAGAGGGGCTCCAGATGTAAAGAGGGCTTCTAACGTGAAGGGGGGCTTCTCATGTGAAAGGAGGGGGCTTCTAATGTGAAGGGAGCTGCTGATGTGAAAGGGAGAATTCTGATGTGGAAGGAAGGGCTCTTGATGTGAAGGGGGGCTCTTGATTTGAAGGGTGGACTTCAATGCAAAGAATGGAACCTTTGTTTTTTGAATGGTTTCCCCCTTTACATTTTAGACTGGGGAACCTTAAGATTTTGCATGCTTTTTAAGGGTGCCGTGACTGAAAAAAGGTTGAGAAACGCTGATGTAAATTCACTAGATATTTACAGTATGTTATTACTGTTAGTTTTTATCATCTTCCACGGCATATTACCACTACACTAGATACATCCTGTGCTAGGCACCCTGTGGTGCCTGTACCTACCTTCAGTGCCACTCCAGTGCTCAGTCAAATTCCCATTGTGTCTAGGTATTCCTCCTGCTTCCCCATAAAGCAACGCCCAGGATCTAAGCATCAAGTCTAGACACTGAAACATGGGGGTGGCTTAGTGTTCAGTGTGTAATTACTGACACTCAGGGCCGGATTAACAGAGGGCTACCGGAGCGCTAGCTCCAGGTCCACCACTTAAAATCGGTTTTGGTGTGTCCTATGGCAATCTGGGCTGGCCAGGCTGAACACAATCAGGCAGAGGTGCCAGCAGCTCTCTAATCAGGCATATTAGGCGTCCGCTCGCTGTGGCTCTGCAGGGCCCTGCGGGGCCCCAGTGAGGAGCGAGCAGCCGCCTATTAGAGAGCTGCCTCTGCTGCTTCCTGTCTCACAGACCGACAGCACCAGGTCCATTTATGGTCTTAATCCGACCCTGCTGATACTGCTGGCTAATATTGGTTATTGTCAGCGAATTTGGCTTTTAGTTCATATGATAGACTAGTTTTATAACACCTTATGTGTCTCTGTGTATTTGGTGGAGGTGGGGATCTGTGTGGTTAGTATCCTGGGTCTGCATTCTTGTGATTATGAAGGGCTTTCACTTTTCCAGTTAGGTTTCCAAGGTGGGTGGGAGCAAAGCCTGGAAATATGACGTGGAAATCACTGAGGTCACCGTAAGATAATAAAATGCCAGTGAGAGTTTCTGCTCACCAGATTCCACATATAAATGAAATATTCTTGGGTTGAGTTCTGCTTTTAAGAGGGGACAGAAAGACATCGTAGATAATAATGCTGCGACTAGTACATTAAAGTAGTATTAAACTCTTTTTTTTTTACAATAAGGAATCCAGATTAACAAATATACACTGACCAGCAAAGTGTTTCCTTATATTTTTGCCCAAGCACTTACTGTTATCATGTTCCTTAATAGCTGGCTCCAACTCTCTCAGCTTCACTTAAGGGAACTTCCTGTCCGGTACAAGATCACAAGGGACAGAGCAGTCTCCAGCAGCTGTTCATCTACTAGACTGGAGAAGAGAGGAAGGAGACGAAGGAGCAGGAGTGGAATGACTTGCCTTGATGTGTCTGTGTGTTTGTGGGGACGCACACAGCTTACTGTGGCTCCATAGAACTCTGCAAGGGAAATGGGATTATCAGGGCCAGTGGTTAGAAGACCAGCTGATTCTTGAGGAAACTAAAACTGTTAAACATCAGCCTCCATTGCCAGTGATTTAGTGCTTTTGAAATAGCTTAAAAACATTTTGACTTTAATATCACTTTAACTCTATACCTACAGGGCAGATGATTGCTTCTTATCCCTAAAATGTTTTCTATTATATTAAATCGGTGAATATGGTCACCCATAACTGTATAAGTATGCAGCTGCAATACTTTGCAAGTTTGAGAGTAATATATCATATTACCTGTTACAAAGTACAGCTGAAATTTCCTGAGCGATCTCTATGCTGATTCTACTTTGTACATAATAACAATGATGTATACTTTATCTTGGCTGTGATACTTGTACCTCTTAGGCTAGATTCATACCTAGGCGATTGTGCTGGTGAGCTGTTTGCGCACGGTTGTCGGGGGTTTTTGTGTGGGCGATTTTGCTTTGAAAACCGTGCGGTTGTTTCGCGGTTTTCAATGCATAGAGATGTCTATGAGACCCAAACCGCCCGAAAAAAAGCTCCTGGGCCTTTTTGCGCCACAGGCGATTTCTAATGCATGACAAATTGCTAAGGTGTGAACAGCTTCCATAGGTTTGAATGGAAATCTCTGTTTTGTGCAATATCACGCGGCTAAATCCGCACGCTAAATCGCTTAGGTGTGAACCTAGCCTCATACTATAACAAGTTAGTAAGAATCCTGCAATGAAAACACAAGTCTGTTTATTTTTTCCAGAGCTCAGAAGAAAACAACATCAGTTTCATTAACCATAGGGCCATCATCTCCAAAATGCGGAATAACCACTGCAATAATGCAGCCAATTTCTATCCCTGTCCAGCAGGTAGGTCACTTTTATTCTTTAAGACAATGAAGTCTAGGATACAACTTACCTTTATATAAAAGAGCTTTTGCCACTGAAATACATATGACATAGTTTGCCTGTAAAGATATTTAAATATGTGACATATTTGACTTTGTTCAGTGTTCCGATGATTAAAAACTGATATCTGTTAACAGGTCCAAAGTCCGACATCTTATCTGTGTCGTCCAGATGGGTCCAGTTCTTCTAACTTCTCTGCTCCTTCTTTCACTAAGGTTTGCCTACACACGATGCCTGCAGAGATAGATGTATCTTTTTGCTGTACTTGTTTATGGAAACATGGGATGCAGTTACTGTAATACAAACATCTTTAATTGGATTTATAAATGCAAAAATGTTTAAAAAAATGCAAGATTACTACTGAGCACTAGGCTTTTGCCAGATTTTGGAATATTGACAATTACTTATTTTGTACTAGACTGGGTTAAAAGAGAACAATAGTCAAACCTTTATTTTGGCTTTAGTTCTCTTTTGGGTCACAGGAGTACATTTACTAATGTACTCCTGAGACCCAAAGTCAGCATATAGTGGGCTACTGCCCAATATTGCAGAGCCGCACTGTGAATCCACCCCGCTGCCTGATTGACAGCTGGCTCTACCTATCTAGGACCAGAGCCAGCTGTGCCTCATCCCTCCCGTCTCCTTCCCTGCTGCTTGAATTGATTCAGTCTCCATTTCTCAAGACTACATATCCCATCATGCATTGCTTCCATCAAGCAATGATGGTGTTACATTGTTAGAAGTTCAGGCATTGAGTTGTAGTTTAGACAGCAGGCTTTGTTAGAGCGGTGACACAAGGAAGTGTATATTCAAAGGGCGGAGTGAAATGTTGTCAGTACATTGAGTAAGTACATCTTATGGTCATCTTTGATAGAAGTAAGTTTACAAACTTCATGATAGATATGGTTATTAGGAGTGGGATAGGTCTTATAGAAATTCAATATAGTAATACATGTTAGGTTTTCGTTTGTAGCCACATATAACCTTTAAGCTAATTTAAAGTACAACCCCCCACCCTAGTTTATTACTTTTCTCAGGAAGACAGCCATAGACTGCTATCAGACATGGCTTTCTTTACATCCTCCAGACTGAACTCTTCTTCAGTGCCGGCTGCTTCTTAACAGGAAGCCCTGTTGGGGTAGACCGGTATGGGATTGTCTCCTGAGCCTCCATTTACTGAAGGAGCAGCAGTGGGCCCCTATATTCCATTTTAGTGTCGCATTTCTTTATAAGTTAGAATGTTAAAGAAGAACTCCAGGGGAAAAGTTCTTAACCCTTTTAGTGGTGCTACTCCCGCACTGCAAGGGTTAAGTGCTCGTTTTTGTGTAGGTTAATAAAAAAAAGTTATACTCACGCAAACCTCGGATTCGGCTGGCTGTAACAGCACTCCCTCCAGTGTGTCTGCTCCTCCACTGCAGCAATGGTATGTTGCTCGGCATCCTCACGTCGTATACACTGTGTATAGAACTTGATGACTCAGGGACCTTAGACCGCTGGAGTGAAGGGATAGAGAGGCTCCAGGGACCGTTCTAAGTCGGCTCAGAGAATCAGGCGAGTAAAACTGTTTTTTTGGAACCTAGACACAAACAAGCACTTAACCCTTGCCTAGCCCCACTGCGAGGGTTAAGATTTTTCACACTGCACCCAGTTCACCTCATGCGAGCACATGTCACCCGCGGTGCATAAAAGTGAATAAAATGTCATTTGTGACATTTTGACAAAGCAAAAAAAAAAAGGTAAACAGTGCCTTGCTTTGCACAGTAGCATGCATGCTTGTTTGAATGAACCCTTTATATGATTATTTAAGCCACACAGAACAAACTGTCTAGTATCAGTCAAAGGTGGATTAGGTAATTTGGTCCTTGAACCCTACCTTGTGGATGGAATATCTGCAAAGCTTTTGAAATAATATGGCTGCAGTACTACAAATTCCAGCATTTTGTGTAAACAGGTTGAGCGTGCGTCCTTTGTTCTAATGGTACAAGACCTGTTGCAGACAAAACACTGTCTTGTTTTACTTGACTGAGTACTTTCTTTAGATTCATTCAGTCACTCAATAGTGTGACAGTTTAAGGAGTAATGTAAATGTGAATAAACCAGTAGAACATATTTTGATTTGCAGAGACCTGATATCCTAAGAATGCTAACAGTAGGTTGTGAATTACCAAGCTGAACAGTAACACCGCTTCTTATATACTGCATTATACGGTTTAGATCGTAACGTCTAGATTACTGCAATCTATAGATGAATGTTCTAAAGCACAGCTTCCCATGCCATGAAAATGTAAATCTATGTAACAACTGTGAGCTAACAGCACATGCCTGTGCGATCTGCTAACTCTGTGTTCCTAAATGGGCAGAGCATAGCATCACTTGAAGTATGCAAATGAGACAAGGGCAGGCTATAATTAAATGTAAAAAAAAATAAAACATTTTTTATTTGCTGGTTCTACCCCTGATTCTCTGCTGCCCAAGCAGGCACAAGTCCATGGGCGCCTTATGCCACTTATAGCCCTTCTTATATATATCCATTTGTATATGGCATTCTGAGTGCCACACCAGAGTTTTGAGCTTTTTCTATTAGAAATAAAGCTAGTTAGTTATATACTAGCAGATGCTGACTCATTGGGCCTAATTTACTAAAGTGTAACAGTAAAGTTCTGTGAAGTGAGGTGAAGTGAACACAAGCATTCAGTGATGTGCATGGAAATTAAAAAAATAATAATAAATCTTTGCCTGCCTTCATTTGGATGGTGGAAGCGAACGCAGGTTCATGCTTTAGTAAATCAGGCCCATTGCCTGGTTCTTGCATAGAATTAAGGCATCCGTAAGTGTGCTTTTTGTGCTTGAGAAAGGCAACATTGTGAACATGTACCCCTCCTGCACTGTCTTATCATTGTGTTCATGACATTGTTTAACTCTACCTACTTATTGTATTAAAATACAGGAACTTCAGAGCCTGACAGCATCGGAAGGACAGGTTGTGGTGCTGGAGTGCAGGGTAAAGGGCACACCGCCAGTCAATGTCAAATGGTTTAGACAAGGAACCGAAATCCAAGATTCTCCTGACTTTAGAATTCTCCAGAAAAGTAAGAAGAACACATTCACATCCATCCATTCTAATGCCTTATGCGTCATGTACAGTATACATACTGGGGGAATGTATCAAAACTGGAGCAAACAGAATCTGGAACAGTTGCCCATGGCAACCAATGAGCATCCCTCTTCAGTTTGCTCAGGTAAGATTTGAAAATGAGACAGAGAAGCTGATTGGCTACAGTGAAAAACTTCTCCAGTGTTTGTCTGCTTCAGTTTTGATAAATTACCCCCACTGTACGTATTGCCTTTGGTATAAATTAATGACATTTTATTGTTTCAAAACCCTGCTGATATGTTTCTTCCTCTGCAGAAATACTAATATCCTAAATACTAGATGGAGCGAGGTTAATAAAAAAGTGTAATCAGTCAATTTATGTTTTAAGATTGCTGGATGCCTTGACCACATACAGTACTTAGTAGCCCAAATAAAAAGATGTTTGAACTATAAGAGATTTTAATGACAGTGTGGTCACATTAATACAAGAATGGTCTCATGTCTGCTATGTTTTTGATACATCCTTTTAATAGACCTAAGAGGCGGATAACGTATTTTTAATCACTCTATAATGTTTGGATCCAAGGAAGATGAGGATAACAATCAAGAAATCACTATTCTTGATTAAAGTGTATTTCCACTTTAGCAGCCAAAATTGAGAAAACCCCACTATATGTTTGTTATGTGTTTCTATTCACACACCATAACTAACAATAATTAAAATATAAATATTTCTTACCTTTTAGAGATCTCTAATTAGCAGGCCTCTCTCAATTTCAGTAACAGCAAACTCTGACTGTTCTCATTCTCAGACTTGGGACAGACTGAGCATGTCCTCATTATCATGCAATGTCTTCAAGGCTTTAACCCTTTGTTAGGACAGACAGTCCTACTTATCTAGTTTATTAATGGATTAATGACATCTGCCAGCACAGTACAGACAGTGTTATTTATTTAAAACGAAAATCCCCCAACCCCCCCAGACAGTGAGAACTAAGTAGGATTTTTCTGTCCTGGGGTTGGGACAAAGAACATCTAAAAAAAAGGTAAACTGCAATTTTCATATTTTTGTTATGCTATGTGATTGGGAACATGTAACAAATATAAAGTAGGTATTATTCTAGTCTGTAAAAGTGTAAATACACTTTAAAATTTACCTTACATGCCTTCCCTGGTCATGAATGGGCAGACGAATCTGAGTATTTAGTATCAAATTAAAATAATGCAGACTTATTTATGGAAGAATTATATTTTCTCCTCCATTTATTGATTGGCCCATGTCAGGCTTGTGTCAGTTGAGTGAATGTCCCACTACTGTCACTATAATTGTAGCTGCATGTGTTTTTTTGTCCTGCACAAGAATAAAAAAAAAATCCTTTGCAGTGGATCACAGAGATGAAAATGGGTATTATAAAAATAGGTGATGCCAAAGGCCTTGTAGCTTCCTCTGGGTCCTTGTGTAGGATTAAGTTCACCAGCATTAAAGTAAACTCCTAGCTATCCGGCACCCATGGGTATTGGTAGATGCCAGATAACTGTAGTTTCTGGTTATTTGAGTGTTGCTATTATCTCTCAAGGCCCCCCGCCCCATTGATCTGCTGGCTAGATTCTGCTATTGGCTATTTCAAATTGCCAAACACGCCCACTGCCCATTATTTACCATTCCCCTGCCAGCTGCAGAATCTAGCCGTCGGCCGCAGCAAGATGTAGACAGAGAATTTCATTAGCAACAAAATAAATTTAGTTGCTAACAACATTTTTTAGCGTGCACATGTCTATCAAGCAACTGGCAAAAACAATTGAAGACTTATTATGTCCTCGATTTTTTTTTTTTCTGGTTGCTTGAGAGTTCTGAATACTTGAATGCCGGATAATGGGGAGTTTACTGCATACACAGTATACAAATAGGAATATGTTTTTGAATACATTAACACACAGGGGTCTATTCACAAAGCTGCCGAGGGCAGCCGAGCGAATGACCGATCAGAAGTGAAGTGAGCCGAACACCGTTCGGCTATTCACTTCATGCTGGTATGGCTCATTTCAGCCGTACATCGGCTTGCTTCGTGTGGCTTCGGATCAGCCGAACATGCTCAGCATGTTCGGCTGACCCGAAGTGCAGAAGGAGTTCGACTCAGCCGATCCAACATCTGGATCGTCGGCCAATGGCCGGCCGCTCGGCCAGCTTCGTCTTTCAGCATGGCTCAGTGCTCGACTGAGCCGCTCGGCCGTGATCGGGAGCTGTACGGGCTATTGTGAATAGCCCGTACAGCACCCCCTCGGTTCTCCTGAACCGAAGGGGTCCTGGTGCCGAAGCAAGCCGAAGGATCGGCCGAAGCTACGGCCAGATCCTTCGGCAGCTTTGTGAATAGACCCCACATTTATAACATGATTTGCATACCCTCCAACATTGTGAGATAGGAAAGAGGGGCATCTTTTTCACAGAATATTTAGCCAAAGGACACACTTTTTTCACACCCCAATCACACAGACCATAAGGAATGAAAGTTAAAAAAAAGCTTACAAACCCATTGAGGTGTTTTTTTTGTTTTTTTACTGCTAATTTGCTTTCTATTAGTGTTTACAAATAAGTAATGCAATGCAATGAATAAAAAGTTTAGTGCAATATAAATAATTTTGATAGTTACAAAGTTTTTTTTTAAGTATCCATCTATATAGATCTCTACACCAGAGCAAAGAGAGAGAGACATATGAAGAGGAAAGAGGGACTGAGGGATTTTGTTCCAAAAGGGACAGTACCTCCAAATGAGGGACACTTGGAAGCTACATATTTGTATAAAGCTGAAGAAATGCACTATACATTTATAAAACAAAAAAAAGTTAAAAAGACTGTAAATTGCCTTTCAGACATCCCAACTTCCCAGCAGGAATGCCTTGTGTTCCTGATATTTGTAGCACCAATAGTCTGTTAGCATTCTTCCATATTTAAATGTATGTTTGAATAAAAAATACCACTTGTTTCCGTCTTATGTCAGTAACTTGGTGAATTGTTGTCAAGAGTCCAAAAAGAGGATTATGACATCCTTTCTACAAGATCACTGTTTAGAATCTTTGCTAAATAATTGCAATTTGTGTTTTACATGTAGTAATAACGTTATATAAAGTCTGAGTATAGTATGCAATGCTGCTTTTAACCTCATGACTCTAAGCGTGCTGCTTGCATGTCCACCAGCAAAAAGTTCAGACCTTCTTTTCCTTAGAGACCTCAAAATCATTTCCGCTTGCACATTATTATCCTGTACATTCATAGTGAAAGTACAGAGTCGTCAAGTATATATTGTTCTCCTAGCTAATCTCTTTGCTTTTGGAGAGGTTGAGAGGTTATACATTGTACTGCATTTCTCAGTCCGGCAGACAGGAAAGTAGTTAGCTGATGTTTGTTATTACAAGCAAGCTACAAGTGTATATGATCTATGTAAATGCACGCTTCGGAGAGATATGCAGGAATACAGACCAGTCTGCATGGTTTAGGGCTTTAAGGTGCAGCACCCATAATAGCTAAAAACATAGGGGACATTCACTAAACATGTAGTTTATGCTTGAATGGTAGTGAAAATATCACGAAGCAGGACATTCTGACATTGTTTCTTGTAGATTTGCATTATTATTTCTATACTCGCTGCAAAGCTGCTCTTCTCTTTGCACCGAGGAAAAGAGCAATGCCAAACATTTACTGACCTGACTAATAGACTTCCTTGCCAACCTGGCCTTCCAATGGTAATTGTCTCCGGTACTCCAAAGAGGACTTGTCTGTCATCGAAACATTGAATGGCACCCAACTAATGTCTAGGGCTACCGAGTTAATTCTAGTCAAACAACCGATCAGTCGTGGGTTTGATATTTTAAAGAATATTTCTCTCAAAAAAGACCATTTGACACAAAAAAAGAAAAGTTCAATTTGGTCATACTTTTTCACCAGGACCTATTGCTCCTGGATTGCTCTCAGTGGTGACCGGCCATAATGTCTTTTTATGGCCAGTGTAAGGACATGATGTCCATCTGTATCCCTTTGCAATCACAATGCTTACATGTATCCCTGTGCAATCATATTTCTAGTTGTGTGTTTGTGTGTGTGTATATATATATATATTAAAAAAAATGTTTTAACTGTTAAAACATAAGCTTTCTTTGTTTCCTTTTACAGAACCACGTTGTGCTTCCGAACCTGGTAAGGAGCTAATACATTTTGAACAGTTTTGTTTGCTGCACTTAGTTTAGTTCTAAACATAAACTAAACATTTGTAAATGATGTAGGAAAAACATTTATTTAGATACTTTTCATTATCTTTCATCTAGGGAATAATGTAGTTCTCTCAGCTTGTTACTTTTACTCAAGGAGCAATAGGAGTCCACCCAGCAGCATAAGAACTGGGTTCATAGTGATGCAAACATGGCAAGACCAATATTTTTTGTAATGGGGAGCTACTGAGCCACTTTAAAGTGGTACAGTATGGCTCAATATACGAAGGCATTTAACAGAAGGCATTTCCATTACGATGTATATTTTTTTTGTATAATCAAAAATTTATTTTTATTTTACTGTACACATGAGCTAAATTTATCAGGCACATGCGTTTTCATCAATTATGGAGGTCTTCTGACTGTGAAGGTCATTTCATTGGAAGCATCCCACAGGTTTTTACTCCTTTAGGCCCTGTTCACACCTTTACGTTTTGTCGCGCGTTCAACGCTCTATGAACGCTCCACAAAATGTACAAACATGAAAATCCCATTGTTTTCTATGGGTATGGTTCACACCTTTCCGTATTTCTGCCCGTCTGAATGCGCTACAAAACGGCCTATGCCCAAAGAAGTACATGTACTTCTTTGGGGCGTTTTGGTCGCGCGTTTCCATTGGGATACAGCTAAGTAGCCCTCAGAAACGCGCGTTTGTTGCACGTTTTTTTTCCGGGAAGTGCGGTAAAAACGCGCGACAAACGTGCATATTCAATACGCCTAGGTGTGAACCAGGCCTAAAATACTGCCAGCTATAGTGTGGTATTCATTATGAGTTTCAGTGAGGTATCTACTCCTGAGAACAGGAGTTGTTTGGGGTTGTGATGAATTTGCATTTTGTGAGATAAAATAGCAATTTATGAAGATAAGGCTTTAGAAATTAAATGTCCACTTAAAAATACCTAGTCATATTTATGTTTGTGAATATTTAATTATAAATAATAATATAATGTGGAAAGAAAACTCACCTTTCCATGCCTTCTTGCCGGTGCCAACATCTTTACCTGGTCACTTTCCGGGTGTGGAATGCATGTGCATGGGAGTTCATATATTCCAGCACCGAGATATGCGGAAAATGTATACTGAGCTGTGCATGGTCAGGTTAGCATACATTCTAAAGAAGCTTTTGAACAGTTGGATAGGTTTGTTTCATAATGAGCCTGCCAGCTCACAATTTTTATTATTTTTTATTTAAAGTGACATTAAACCCTCAGATTTTTTAACATAAACCAATACTGTAATGTGTGCCTTAGTGTAATCCATGGTAGTTTCCCTTCTCTTTGCTGCTCTTCCTTTTAAATCTGTATCTCTTCTCATGCTGGGGGAGAACTTCCCTTTGCAGCTGAGTGCCTCTTCCTGTAGTGCTGGCTCAGGTTGTGAACCTGCACACAGACACCATGTATCCATTCCAGAGACAAGGCAGTCTTCTGCAAAACAGAAGTTCTGCCCAGCATTGAGAAGAGATACAGATTTAAAAGGAAGAGCAGCAAAGAGAAGGGAAACAACCATGGATTACAGTAAGGCACACATTACAGTATTGTTTTATGTTAAAACATCTGATGGTTTAATGTCACTTTAAGTTCCACTTTTAAAAACTAAATCAGGCTTTACAATCTAAACACAGTTGTCAGGATGATGTAATCACAGTTAAAGGCGAATGACATGAATGACAAAGCAGGATTCTCGCAAATTTAGCTAGGTCCCTGGGTATGTGTCACATGACTCATTCTAATTACTATCAGTAAAATACTGAAATGTATTTGATGTAAAAAAATAATAGGCCCTTTTTTTAAGGCATGATAATGTGTTCTCTGTATTTAAGTAACGACAGTTCCTGCTACCCAGGGCTTCTGTATGGCCATATATAACACCTGGGACAAATGTTTTTTTCAGCACGCATTACACTTTTCCCTATATATTTTTAATTTAATCTCTGAATTCAAAACATCTAAAAATGTAAAAAATGTCAAACCTTATACATTAGAGTATCAAGGCAATTTACCATCCAGAAAGTCCGGTAGTAAACCAACATCAACTGATCAGACATTTGCTTTCTCGTATAACACTGGGCAACCATACTATTCTTTATGGCTCCAATCATCTAGCATGAAGCTTCCTGGTCTGTATGGAACAGCACATCAATATATTTGAAGCTGCATGACAGATTAAGCTTAGTCACATTCTTGAAATCTAATATGTATAGATGTAGTGTAGAATGACTCTTGTATGGATATTATATAGACATTTTTTGGGCACTGCTCATCATAGACATACATGTGTCATAAATGGTAGAAGACTATGAAAGTATTAATCAGCTTAGTCATTAACTTACACTGTTGTTGCCTTAGGGAGCTATCGCCTTCCAGAAGGCTACAGATTACTACGCTGTCCGTAGCATCGTTCCAACATGCTCTGCACATTCACACAGCCCGGGGATCTCAAGAACAGCAGCTTTTTCTCATCACTCCTTTCTAGTTAATGTGTTCTCCACTTGTTCTGTCTAGACGGAAATCACCCCGTATCACAGACTGTTTTGTGACTTAATAAACAGTCCAGTTGTTTAAGGCTACATCCCAGTTTGTCAAATTACCTGATCTGTTCTCTTTTATGCTCCTTTTGACACAGTGCTGATTGAACCCTTGAAAAACAAGGTTGCTGGGGGGAAAAAAATGAATCATTGGCCAGCTGTTGCTGCTTTCACCCATTACTCAGCTGTCTAGAAGCGGCCCTATCAGATTTCTGCAGCGTACTGCCTTTGTGGTGACATGTAAAAAGTGCTTTTATTAGATAAAAGGGAAGACATTTTATTATAATGTCTAAACCATTCACTTTTAAGCTTTTGTTGTGAGTTCCTATACAGCAGGCAGACAGTTGTGAAACTTCTCCCCAGTGATTCCAGCTAGGGGAAGTTTTTATTAAAAGCAATAGCACATTTATTTGACTGCAGCCTTGCATGTCATTGGGATCAAACAGATTGCTTGTCAAGCTTGCTTGTAAAATTGCACCAAGAATAAGAGCTCCCATTTTTAAATAATTATCTTTGCGTCAGTTAAAATGTTTGTTATGCCTCATTGCTTAGTCACCAGCTTGCAGATATTAAAGACTGAAGCTTGCCATAGGCTAAGCAGTGACTATTGGGAAATGATTAGGGCAGTAATCAACCTTTGTGAAGTTTAGAGTCAGCCCTAGCTTGTTATGTTTGTAAGCCATGTTAATATGTGATAACCTATTATCTATAGTTATTATCTTTAACCTTTTCCATAGATCAGGAAAAGGTTGAAACTACTCTTAAGGGGTTATTCACAAAGCTGCCGAAGGATCAGCCATAGCTTTGGCTGATCCTTCGGCTAGCTTCGGTCCCAGGACCCCTTCAGTTCAGTAGAACCGAAGGGCTGCTGTATGAGCTATTCACTATAGCTCGTACAGCTCCCGGAGTCGGCCGAGCGGCTCAGTCAGGCCGAAGGCATATGCCTGGTCTCGACTGAGCTGAGGTGAAAGGCAAAGCTTGGCCAAAAGCTGGCTTCTGACAGCTGGGCGGAGCCAGCCGTCATCTCAGTCGCAACACTGTAACCTGTAGGTACACAATTTTGGGTTTGGTTTTTGGTAAACAAAACACCTGTCTGCTCCTCTTTTAAACAAAATACTTGAACTCCTAATCCAGAATATTGAAATAATGTAGTTGATTTATTAAAGAATAGAACATGTTCACATTCAAAGTGAATTTTCACTGTGGATTGTGAATGTATACGTATTTAAATGAGGTGAAGCAAAAAATGTACTTTGCAAAGAATACTCAATCATGTTCAAGGAAAATTGATTTTTCTTCTACTTGATTGGATGATTAAAGTCAGCACAACTTCACCTCATTCACTAAGATAAAAAATGTTTCTGTCTGCAAAGTGAATTTTCAGTTATCTTAATGAATGAGATGAAGTTGTGTTGACCTCAATCATCCAATCACCAATTATTTTCTATTTTCCTTTGATTGGGTATTCTTTGCAAAATGGATTTTCACTTTTTTTCCCTTCCATCCATTGGAAATTCTGAGTAATTAGTGAAAATTCTTTTTGAAAGGGTCATTGCATACATATCCATATATGAGTCTTTTCTGTATTGATGGAAAGAATATGAGGCCAGTTGAACCGAAACGCTACTTCTTTGCCTCTGCTGCTTAGATGTACATGTCTGTTATGTCCCTGTTCACATCTAGGCATTTTGTTGCTCTAAGCTAAGCGTATCAAAACACTCAAGACAAAGGAATCCCATTTGCTTCTCTTGAGTGTGGCAAAACACTCAAGACAAAGGAATCCCATTTGCTTCTCTTGAGTGTGGCAAAACACTCAAGACAAAGGAATCCCATTTGCTTCTCTTGAGTGTGGCAAAACACTCAAGACAAAGGAATCCCATTTGCTTCTCTTGAGTGCGACAAAACGCTCAAGACAAGGAATCCTATTTGTTTATATGGCCCCTGTTTACACTTGAGTGTTTAATAGTGTGTTTTGTCACATTAAGTTTCCCATTGAAGCCTATGGGACAAAAAAGCGCTGTAATCTGCCATAACGCAGCTCATGTACTTTTTCCAGTGACAGGTATTTTTTTGCTTGCAATCTTTGAGCGATAAAATGTCTAGGTGTGAATGGGGACTAATGGTAAATGGTAAATCCAGACGTTGTCCTTTCCTACTCCCTACAAAAAAACCAAAATGTGGCTATAGCTGTACCCTAAGCATAATTTGCAAAGCGGATGTGTACCTGTCCAATCAGTATCAGCTCAATATCACTAAGAGGGATATGTTTATGTTCTCATTGTGCGACCCTTATTAAGCTAAACATCCATATCTGTAAGTTAAAGCTTTTAAAGTTAAAATCCAGCAAAAGGGTTTTTAGAGAGAGTAGGGAAAGATTACTTGTGTTTGTTGCTATCTGAGGCCCC